CCTGACTGCACAAAGAACTCTCTGATAAATTGAAAGATAAAAAGGACAAGTATAGAAAGTGGAAAGAGGGGCACATAACTAAATCAGAATATCAACAAATAGCCTGAGCCTGCAAAGATGAAGTGAAGAAAACCAAGGCTCAAAATGAACTAAGGCTTGCGACCAAAGTAAAAAATAACAAAAAAAGCTTCTTTCAACATGTAAAAAACAAGAAAAAAGTGAAGGAAATGATTGGTCTATTGGTGGGCGAAAGTGGCAAGGTGACAAGCAATAGGGAGAAAGCAGAACTATTTAATTCGTTTTTTGCATCTGTCTTTACACAAAGGGAAAAAACAGATCAACCTATCAAAAATAGTGCCATAAAAAACATTATAGAAACACAAGTTAAGATAGGCAAGAAAATGATAAGTGAGCACCTGTCCAGCCTAGACGAGTTCAAATCACCAGGACCAGATGGATTACACCCCAAGGTTCTCAAGGAACTGGCAGATGTGATCTCAGAACCACTGAACTATATTTTTCAAAGATCTTGGAGCACTGGGGAACTACCAGAGGACTGGAAAAGAGCTGATGTAGTTCCCATCTTCAAAAAAGGAAAAAAAATGGACCTAGGAAATTACAGACCTCAATACCTGAGAAGATTCTGGAAAAGATAATCAAACAACGAATCAGCGAACACCTAGAGGCAAACAAAATCACTACTAAAAACCAACATGGGTTTGTCAAAAACAGTTCATGCCAGACAAACCTTATTGCATTCTTTGACCAAGTGATACAATTAGTGGATCAGAGGAATACTGTGGATATCATTTACTTGGATTTCAGTATGGCATTTGATAAAGTAGATCACAACCTACTACTCGATAAGATAGAAAAAAGTGAGTTAGACAGCATCACCACCAGATGGATTTGTAGTTGGCTGACGGGTCATATTCAGTGTGTGGTCCTCAATGGAACTGCATGGAGGGATGTGTGTAGTGGGGTGTCCCAGGGCTCTGTTCTAGGCCCAGTGCTCTTCAACATCTTCATCAACGATTTGGACGAGGGGATACATGGGGAACTCATAAAATTTGTGGATGACACCAAGCTGGCAGGAATAGCCAACACTCCAGAAGACAGGCTTAAGATACAGGAGGACCTGGACAGACTTGAATATTGGGCACTATCTAACAAAATGAAATTCAATGGTGAAAAAAGTAACGTTCATCATTTAGGCAAGAAAAAACAAATGTACAAGTATAGTATAGGGGGTACCTTGCTCAATAGTAGTAACTGTGAGAGGGATCTCGGAGTCCTAGTCGACAATCACTTAAATATGAGCCAGCAGTGTGCTGCAGCTGCCAAAAAAAAGCCAACTCAGTGCCGGGCTGCATTAACAGAGGGATAGAATCAAGATCCCCCTTTATGGATTACTGCCTTGTCGTGGCGAAGGGGCTTGCGTAACTCAATGAAGCTATAAGCTATGCTGTGCAGGGCCACCCAAGACGGACAGGTTATAGCAGAGAGTTCTGACAAAATGTGATCCACTGGAGAAGGAAATGGCAAACCACTCCAGTATCTTTGCCATGAAAACCCCATGGACAGTACTAAAAGGAAATCCATGGGGTTGTGATGGGTCGGACACGACTTCGCAATTAACAACAACAAGAATCAAGATCACGTGAAGTATTAATACCACTTTACAATGCCTTGGTCAGGCCATACTTGGAATACTGCATCCAGTTTTGGTTACCATAATGTAAAAAAGATGCTGAGACTCTAGAAAGAGTACAGAGAAGAGCAACAAAGATGATTAGTGGACTGGAGGCTAAAACATATAAGGAACGGTTGCTGGAATTGGGTATGTCTAGTTTAACGAAGAGAAGGACGAGGGGGGACATCATAGCAATGTTCCAATATCTCAGGGGCTGCCACAAAGAAGAGGGAGTCAAGCTATTCTCCAAAGTGCCTGAGGGCAGGACAAGAAGCAACAGATGGAAATTAATCAAGGAGAGAAGCAACCTAGAACTAAGGAGAAACTTCCTGACAGTTACAACAATTAACCAATGGAACAACCTGCCTCCAGAAGCGGTGAATGCTCCAACACTGGAAGTTTTTAAGAAAAACTGGACAGCCATCTGTCCGAAATGGTGTAGGGTTTCCTCCCTGAGCAGGAGGTTGGACTTGATGACCTCCAAGATCCCTTCCAACTTTATTATTATTATGGATCATCGCACAGTCAGCCAGATGTTCAGACTGGATTTGGCATTTTGTCTATCTATCGAGTCCTTACCCAGGACCTGAGATAGGCAGATGTGGATGTTTGATGGTATTATAGGTATCGTCGCAGGATGGAAGCAGTTTCTAGTAAGGCCGCCTTTTGCAATTGACTAATGGCAAATTTGTCAATGCCAATGGTGTTCAAGTGGTGCTCCAGTTGTTTTGGGATTGCACCCAAGGCGCCTATGACTATTGGTACTACCCTTGCTTGCTTTTGCCACAGTCTTTCTATTTCTATTTGTAGATCTTTGTATTTTGTTATCTTCTCCAGTTCTTTCTCTTCTATTCTGCTGTCTCCAGGCACTGCCACGTCCACTATCCAGACTTTTTTGTCTTTCTTATCGACAATTGTTAAGTCTGGGGTGGTATGTTGTAGGTGCTTGTCTGTTTGAATTCTGAAGTCCCAGAGCAGTTTAATTTTATCATTTTCTATGACTTTCTCTATTTTATGATCCCACCAGTTTTTGCTTACAGGCAAATGATATTTTTTGCAGATCTTCCTATGCACCATTGTTGCTACTTTGTCATGCCGCTGCTTGTAATCAGTTTGTGCAATCTTCTTGCAACAGCTTACCAAGTGGTCCACTGTTTCTTCAGCTTCTTGCATAGGCGGCACTTACTGTCTGTTGCTGTCTTCTCAATTTTGACTTTGTATGCATTTGTCCTTAAGGCTTGGTCTTGTGCAGCCAGAATTAGTCCCTCGGTCTCTTTCTTCAATTTTCCTGCTCTTAGCCATTGCCAGGTTTTATTATTATCTGCTTTCCCAGCTATTTTTTTCATGTATTGGCCATATAGTGCTTTGTCTTCCCATGCCTCTATTCTGTTCTTCATTTGATCTTTCTTGTAGGCCAGTTTGGTCTCTCCAGTAGTCAGTAAGCCTTCCTGATATACTAATTTCAGTGCATCTTCATCATTGTTCTTCAGATATTCTTCCAAAGCCATTTTTTCTTCTTCAACCATCTGATGTACTTGTAGCATTCCACGCCCACCTATTTGCTTGGTAGATAAAGTCTGTCAATGTCACTGCATGGATGAAGGGTGTGATTCATTGTCATTATTTTTCTGGTCTTCCTATCCATTGCTTTTAGTTCTGCTTGAATCCAGTCCACTATTCCAGCTGTGTACCTAATGACTGGGATTGCCCAGGTGTTGATTGCCTTTATGGTATTTCCTCCATTGAGTTTGGACTTTAAGATCTTCTTCACTCTCTTGATGTATTCACCTCTAATCTTTTCCTTGACTTCAGTGTGCTTGATGTTGTCAGCTTGAAGGATACCCAAGTATTTGTAGTAATCTTCCTCATCCAGACTCTTAATGTTATTTTCATGGGGCATCTGGATTCCTTCAGTTTTCACTACTTTTCCTTGTTTGATAGTAAGTGTGGCACATTTGTCCAAGCCAAACTCCATAATAATATCTTGGCTATATATACGGACAGTGTTGAGCAGCGATTCTATTTCAGATGATGTTTTTCCATACAGCTTCAGATCATCCATGTAAAGGAGTTGGGATAGTCTGGTAGATGTTTTTGATATTTGATAGCCATGTCCTGAGTTATTCAGTATTGTTGACAGAGGAAACAGTGCAATAACAAATAGTAATGGTGGCAATGAATTTCCTTGAAATATTCCTCTCTTGATATTAACCTCTCCCAGTCTCTCACCATTGATCTACAACTGTGTCTTCCATTGTGCCATCGATCTTCGCACAAATTTTCTGATGTTTCTACTGACTCCTGTTATTTCTAGGCACTTGATTATCCAGTCATGTGGCAGAGAGTCAAATGCCTTTTTGTAGTCAATCCATGCCACATTCAGGATTACTACTACTACTACTACTACTAACCAATGCAACATGCTGCCTCAGGAATTGGTGAGAGGAGAAGGAGCGACAACATCCACCAGTATTGCTCTGTTCACCCGATCTGGAGTTTTTGCCTTAAATCTTGAAAAATCAAACATTCTCATTCTAGCTGGGTAATTCAGCAGAGCCTCTGGAACCTCAGTCTACTATAGTTCTGCATTTAGCAATTTCACCTATATAGCTGGAACTCAATTTTTCACTGCCTTTCTGGCTTGAATGATACCACTACTTTAAAACTGAATAGATGCCAGCTCCTCTCACGGTAAAGTCCATTATTAAATTATAGAAACAAATAAACCAAAACAATTGCAAAATACCCAAGCCCCAAACAGGTATGATTCTCCTGAAAGGGTCAAGTAAGGGCTGTATGATAATAACCAAGGTTTCAAAAGGGTCCCAAAATTTCATTCTTCCTCCTGAGGTAGCTTAGCTTTTCTTCAGTTTCCATTTCTTTTTCTCCTGACACCTTCAGCATTCCACCCCAAAACTTAGAAACTTTAATTATTCTACCCTTCCTATTTCTATTGCAGATTATCACCTGGGGAAGAACAGACAACCTGCCCCCTGCGATTGGACAGTGGCAATCCATTTCAACACCAGCTAGCAGCATGATCCTACTCTTTAGCTGTAAATTTTATTCTACAAGCCCCTTTCCAGACTGCTCAGACTGTTCCCAGGGTCCCAAAGTTAAGGGGCATGTCAATCGAGTCCATATTACACTGTGTTTAAGAAAGGAAAAGATAAAAGATAGGATTTTAACTTCCGCTGTATTCTGTACTAGAATTTTCTTTCCCAAATTCTGATCAGAAATTCTTGTATAAATATGAGAAAGTGTTCTATGTGCAACGATTTCTGAATAATCATGTGACACCAGAAAATACAAAAAACAGCATTTTTTTTTAATTCTGATTGCCAAATTATTTAAGGCAAGTATAAAAATGAAAGCATTCAATATACATCTTACATAAAATAAACTAGATTACAGCATAAAACAAGTAACGAGGCAATGGCATTAAAGTCTCTCTTCTAAAACGGGATAATTGTAAACATTAAAAAAAAGACTGCAGGACTATTCAAGTAATAGAACAATCACAGACGTCTTCTGGTATGCAGGCTATTGGGTTATTTGCCATTCAAGATTATAAAAAAAGACATTTCATTATTCACAGATGCTCATTATTTTCCCATTTTAAAATCTATACATTATGTACAACACAGTTTTTGTGGTACTGGCAAGCCCATGCCTTCCAAATGTATATTTTTCACAATACACAATTACAATGAAACAGTTAATACAGTAACGTTTTATACTGATGCATCTTAATAGGAGCCACCAAATGGACATCTAAATTGTACCAAAGTGTCATCGTCATTATCACAGTTAGCCTCTATTGAGGTTGTGGGCAATATTAGAAGAGTATGCAAGTTTCAGGCACACAGATACATAACATTAGTTATTTACAATTTTTAAAAAGGAAAAAAGGAAGAAAAAAAGGAACAACCAACTTTTTGTAGATAACGCTTTCTAAACAAGACAAATACACTTTTTTTCATTTACTTGTGTGGTTTACAATTTAGTATTAGACTCTTTGTATGAGCCTAATTATAGATACAAAAAAGTAAAGAATATATATGCGTATATATATATATATATATATATATATATATATATATATATATATACACACATACACATACATATATATATGTGTGTGTGTGTATATGTGTGTGTATATATATGTGTGTGTATACACACACACACAAACATAAGTCTAAATACAGCAACATTTGTTACTCTGAGATAAAAATCTGAAATTTACAAAAATGAAATGACTGGTTTTTGCCTGCCATTAAGGCATTTCAAATTAACACCATGGAACTGATGTCTGTAATAAAGCGCTTATTTTCATGTGATCCAGTCACATGATGATGTACATGTCCAGATTTATCATTCTCTGAAAAGAAACAGAAAACAAGAGAACCTTTTAGAATACTCTATTTCTAACTCTGTAACATCAACAGTCTCAATAAGTGGGGAAAATACTGTTACGCTATAGCAAACCAGACAGATATTTAATTATCTGTTAATTAATGTACATTTATTTATAGATAGGGTTTCCAGTTGCTAAGAACGGTTGAATGGTAATCCTGTTTAAATGCAGATATTTTATTTAAAAATATATGCTATCTCAAAGTGCCCATTTTTCTTACAGATTTATGACATCACAAAGATGAACATATGTATACACACAGGCACACACACTTACACACACACAGCTAAATCATACTCTGTGGAAATCTAAATGATTTGCTGTTACATGATGGACAGGATGGTGCATTTTCGTGCTTCAGTGATCAATTAACTATGCTACGGTAACAGCTCTGTGGAAAATGTTATGATGAGGACGATGATGCTCTCATTAACGGACAAAGCATCTTTCCTACAAAGACTGCCCTCAAAATATGGAACAATTTTTCCTTTTCCTTCCTATTAAGATAGTCGAGTATAGTTCACAATATTTACCTTCTTTGTGCAGGAAACATACCAGATGCAGATGCCTGAGCAGCCACCTGCTGAGTAGCAACAAGGGCAGCAGAGGTCAGCCCTGGAGAAAAGTGAAATGGTATATCTCAGGACATGTGTGCTGGTACTCACAAAAGTCGACAATAGCTACAGACCTCCATATTAACAAGACATGAATCACAACAGCGCCATTATATTTTCTGCAGAAGGCATACCTAATTACTGCAAGCAAGCTGGAGAAAACCCTGCCTAGCTGTTCTAACCAGCATGCCTTTTTTCAGATTCCACCTAATAGGCATTTTATAAGAAAAGAAGGCATTCTGCCTTATTGTATTATTTTCCAAGTACTACACTGCATGGTGCTAAATGGCTTGCATGAATTCCTGAATAGGAAGCTCAGTAGAAATAATAGGCACCAGGAAACAACAAGAATCAAAAGTCACAGTGAGTTACAGCAAAGGTGTTATACCTTCTCAAAACATAATGCTTGCATAATAGCAATCATTTTAGTGTTTTTCTTTCTGAACACATATAAATATCCCATAAAGCACATGGGACCACTGACGCACAGTCAGTACTTTGCACAAAAGAGAAATTGGCAGGGCACTAAATGAACATAATGAGTTAACACTTTTTCAGCTATAAACATCATAGAAGCTCTTTGGGGCAGGTAAGAAAAATAGCCTTTAATATTAGTAGAATACAGGGACATAGCAAAAAAAAAAAACAGCAGAAAAAAATGCTGCTTATGATTAACTTCCAGTAATATATTATTTAATAAAAACAATCTTGGCTCTAAAACTATATGAACTAAATGACTAACAGAGGTCTTACTCATTAATAAACTAACCAAAGAGAAAAGCAACCTAGAACTAAGGAGAAAATTCCTGACAGTTAGAACAATTAATCAGTGGAACAACCTGCCTCCAGAAGTTGTGTATGTTCCAACACTGCAAGTTTTTAAGAGGAAACTAGACAGCCATTTGTCTAAAATGGTGTAGGGTTTCCTGCCTGACCAGGGGGTTGGACTTGATGACCTCCAAGGTCCCTTCCAACTTTATTATTATATTATTATTGTTACTACTACTACTATTCTCACTTGGCCTTTCCCCATTTTTTTAAAATCATATTTTACATCAATTTAATGTAAGTTCACCCTGTTACCTGAAAAACCCATAATGCACTATTTGGCTTATTAGCAGCAGAATCCTAATAATACCTACTCAGTAGTAAGCCAACAAACTTTACTCCCTATCAATACAAAAATGAGGTGTTTCGGAAGACAAAAGACCTTTCTACTAGGCAGGAAATCAGCTGACTCCTCCCCCCAATTCTGCTAATAAGGGTGCCCTATTGGCTGCAGTATGTTGACAAAAAAAGCTTAATAAGGAGAACAGAAGGAATGAACAAACCAAGTTATGATGTACCCAAACCTGATCAAGAATAATGGCATGCTCACAATGCCACCACAGAGTTAGGTATGGCTGAAGGCAGTCTTTGAATCCATGGAAGCTCCAACACAACACAACACACGTACACACACATGCACTCCAATTGCCTAATTTCCTCACCTTCCTACAGCCATGCAGAGAACTGAAAATAGCACCCTTTAAGTCAGCCCACTGCACCTTAGATGACTCTGGCCATTGGAACCAGTTGGGCTGGCTTTAAGATTGCATTTCTATACCTATATCCTGGCAAAAACAGTAGGTTCTATCAACAATGTGGTCACTATCAAAACCAAGTATTTTTATAATCAACAATATTAGGAAAGCTGACACTCACCTTGAAATGGGTCATATTGACCTGGAATTAGCGGGTAGCCCATTCCAACATGTGTATGGTGATGTGTATGAAGATGCCGTTGACTAAAGGGGGAATGACGATCTCGTTCCCTTTCTGCTTCTCTCTCACGTTCAGCTGTAGATTTTTCCACAGGCTGAAAACAAAACATATTGAGAAAAATTAATGGATGACTCCACATTTTTCTAGATGTGAGCTATTCAGGCTCTAGTTAATGTCTTGTATCTCCAATCTATCCCAGGTGGGTGGCAACATCTAGCCAACCTTTTCATGTTAAAAGCTAAGCATGGTTGAATCAAGTTAGTTCTTCCAACAAAGAATCCCAGACTATAATTTAGATTGGGAAGAAAAAAACAAAAAACACTTCTGCTGCCAAAAAAACTACATGGAAATAACCATTAAGTTTATTTACTTACAGCATTTATTTATCTCCTCAACTGGCTATAAGCAAGATGCAACGTCTGTCAGTTATCAGAAAACTGAGCATAATTCAAAGAAGACTTTACATTTAACCTGTCATATGAACTACTGACACCTTATACCAGGGGTGTCAAACTGCTGGCCCACGGGCCAGACGTGTCACGCGGAAGCTGCACCCACCCCATTGCCGGCAATGGCAAAACCGTCCCGATACATTGCATGATGTCACATGACGTCGCAAGTTTGACCTGTCTGCCTTATACCATCTTGCACTTATATTATTCCAATTACTCTACTAACAAAAGCTATAGCCAGCTGGCTTGAAAAAGAAGACAACTATTTTAATCAAACATTTGGGTGAAGAACTTTTGTTACAGCGATTAAATTTTCTTCAACCTATCTAAAAAACACCTGATTTTTTTTTTATAATTTGATGGTGGCATTCCAAAAATTAAGGAGAGGTGCAAAGGCTTTATTGCATTCCTTATTCTGATTAATGTCTGAAAACTTATTTCAGCTTTATGTACCTTGAGATTTTTAAGCATCATTTAGAAGAAAATACAATGAAACAGAACACAGTGCAATTAATAGTAGGCCCATGCCTCTTTAATTTTGGTTCCTGAAAGAAAGCACAAACTAACTTAAATCATGATTAGTTCTCAAATATGAATATTTAGATATACAAGTTAAAGTTAACCCTCTCACTCTTCCAGTTATGCCAATTTATGCAATTCTTTAAGAACAAGATATATCTTACCACAGGCGACTTGCTACGATACTGGTTGGCATGCTGTTGCAACAAATCCAGTGCTTTAGATTCAGTGGTTGATTTTACGCTGATGCTAGGGCTGGTATTGACTTTTTCCACCTCTTCTCTCCCAGACATCTTTCCGTAAACAGGATAATGAAATCCTGGTGAGAGATAGGCACCTACAGATAAAAAAATAAAAGCACTCTCAAGTTACTATTGGGGATAAGGCAATTTCAAATGCATGAAATGCAAATTACAAAAATTGTATTCAAGGGATTAGATTTTTCTTGTCAAATGTGGCTATTTGAAACTGGCAAATAAAAAATTATAAAGAGGGCTGAACCTATTGCTATTTCAAACATTTAGGGATTTAAGTGAAAGAAGTAATAACTGTAATGGTTCTGAGAGTAAATGCTTAGAATATTTTATAGGCAAGCAACTATCTGAGTGTAATAGCCCAGAAGAATGCCAATGGATGTGGAAATATATTTGGAAATCCTGATAATTCATAAAAAATAATAACTTATGTTAAATTTATTTCACTCCTAGATCTTTGCAAAAGAAATTGAATCTCTGAAGCTTCTAATTTTCCTTTGCTTCTAATAAACAATGTCAAAACTGATGGACCTAGTCGGATTAATTTGATACATACCTGGATAACTATGCATGAGAACAGGAGAAACAGCGCGGTATGCAGGATGATTAGGATCATACATTTGTGGGTAAGGGTAAGCATGCAAGTACTGTATATATGACTGATGCTGAGTCATTGGAGAGGAAACAGCCACTCTAGTACCCCGAGATTCCTTCCAGTTTACAGGAGTCTTTTGATCATCATTTTTTATCTTGTTCTCCTCCAGTGGCTGAGACTCAGAACGCTTCATCTCCTTAGGTTCTTCTTTAATGCTGTTTAATGAAACTGGAAGGCTAGAGAAAGAAGCTTCTTTATTAGGTGTTTTTCTGGGGCTATCTTCTTTTAACTTTTTTTCACGGTCCAGTTCTTCCACTTTCTGCTGTTCAAGATATTTTGGCTGATATACATAATGATGCCATGTTCTTGTATCTGGATCCTGATAGGAAAGGAAGAAAAAAAAATCCCACCATTTTAATATTTACATTCTAAAAGAAGAACCAACAACTACTGTGGTCCAGAGAACAGAGCCAAAACAGGCAAGAGTAGAACTGGCAAATATAGAAGGGTTTGCAGCTTGCATAAAAAAAAATGCAATGTGTTGAAAATGCTATTGTCAACCTGAGTGAACTCTGTGTTGGAATTGTGGGCATGTCTTTATCACTGTAACATTGCTGGAGTTTACATGTGACATAACTCTTTTACTGGCATCTCAGTCTGTTCTCCTGGCAGATTTCTCTTGCAGTTACTGAGCAGAAAATAGCTTCAAGTCAGCAGAAATGCCTCACTAACTCCTTCCAGTTGGCCTTTTGCTTTATATACATATAGAGAGAGAGCTAGGAATGTAATCTTAGCCTCTGTCTAAATTTCACAAGGTAGAAGTCATTTTGTGATGTCACATACTGCTTTGGAGACTTCCATAAGCTGAAAAGGATTAATGGGCAATGCAAGAGGATATAGTTTGTCATATAAAAGTCCTGTTTGCCTTAGGAAAATAACAAAAGCTTGTAATTTTTAAAGCAAGAGTTATGAACAGAAATGAGTAGCAATAGTATTTTCATTAAAAATTAATATAAAGTACAAAGAATTGCTTTCATTGAACTTAAATGAACCCTCACTACCTTAATGGATAAAATACATAACATTTAAAGATAAAATTTAAAGATACAATTATAGTTTTGGTTTTATTTTAGGTAAGATGACCGTCCCTGGGCGGCGGTGGCGAGTGCTGCTCCGGGGTGCCAGGTGACGTAGCAGAGGGCGCGGGGGCGGCGATGGCGGCTGGCAGGATGCGCACTGTGTTGAGCAAAAGGCTCTCCAGGCTCCTGTTGGCCTGCTGGCGGTGCAGCCCCACCTGGGCAGCCATGACACGCTGCCACTCTTGTGGCCCTTCAGCCGTGAGAGCACGCCATGATTGCAGCAGCATGTGCACTTGGGCATCCATTGCAAGGGCACCTGGGCCGGTTGAGCCACTGGGCCGCCCATGTACAGGTATGGGGAGCCATAGCCATTCATGGCACCCTCTCACCCCAGCCGCTATATCAGCCTCACTAGCGCCAGAGCCATGCTCGACCAAATGAGGCAGCGCTTCCCTGGCTCTCTTGGCGCCGAACCAGGTGCTGAATTCGCCCTTAGCTTAAGTGTATGTTGGCTGACGGCTCCCTCGGCCACCTTCTCCACCTCTCAGGCCGGTCTGCAGTGCCCTAGGTGCCTTTCAGTGCCTTCTGCTGCCTCCTGCCCCCACTCCACCACTTTGGCGCTGGCCGCCCAGTCGCCCCCCTCCTGGCTCGAGAGCGGAGGCCCTAGCCGTCTTTTACGCTGGCCAGCCCGACATTGACATGACGACGTGGGGCAGGGTGGGGCTGGTGATAGAGACACACCTTCCCGGCCCGGCGAAAACGACTGCAGTCCAGGTGGGCATGGAGATCAGGAGGGGGAGAGGCCAACTAGACGCTCTTGCTGAGTCCCACCTGGCTCTGGTATCGCCTGCGCTATGCCAGCCATCCCCCAGTGCTGCCCAGCTGAGTGCCCTCAGGGTCTGGATCAGGCCAGGCAGAGGGGCTCAGACAGGGCATGGGGTAGGTGCACAGGAGCTGCCCCCAAGTGCTAGGGCGGAGGAGGGGAACCCAGTCATTCTCCAGAGTCCCAGTATGTCTTGCTGGGCATGGACCTGATAGGCTTGTTCACCAGGATCCTGGCTGGAAGAGGGGAGGTACCGGGCCGGGCTTGCTCTCTGCCTCTCTCTCTGAGCGTGATTGCTGCCTGCCCAGAGAGGGGAGCGGGGGGCCACTCAGCCACCATTCTGGCTGCTGCGCCTGGGCGCCGGGGCTGCTACCCTCTTCGTGGCAGCGGCATCACCTTCCATGCTGGCCCCATTGCAAGCTAGGCATGCCCCCCCATGCTCACGGGAAGGATGGGAAAAGGGGTGGGCAGTGCCGGTGTTGGGGTGGGGGGAGTGGGGGGAGGAAGAAGGGATCCATGGGAATGTGGAGTGTGGGAGGAAGAGTTGGAATCCAAAATGCTCAAATCTGGGTGGGCTCCGAGCAAACACGTGCCGAAGAAGTGAGGGGAGAAGGAAGAGAAACAGTGGGTGTGGGGGGAAGCTCTCTGTTTCTTCTTCTTATGGTGCAAACTCTGCTGAAGCCAGAATGGGGGGGGATGAGGAGGAAGAGAAAGAGTGGCGATTGACAAACTGTGCCAGCCAATCTCTTTGGGGGAAGGGGCGCAGGATGGAGAGGAGGGCAGCTTGCCTTGGAGACGGAGAGGAGAGAGAGAGACATACCCTTTTGACATCTAAAATGAAGATAACACTGCATATATCCTTTTTTACCTTTATTATATATGTGTGTGTGTGTATGTGTGTGTGTGTGTGTGTGTGTGTGTGTAAAAAGGATATATATGCAGTGTTATCTTCATTTTAGATATCAAAAAGGTTTTGCGGCTCCCAGCATTTTGTTTTCGGTGGGAAATGGATCCAAGTGGCTCTTTCAGTGTTTTGGGTTGCCTACCCCTGAGCTAGACAAAGAAAGCATCATTATGATATATATGCCTTGCAAACCAATGTAAATTGATTCCTGTTGGTGTATGTTTTTGATTTATTATTTTGTGGTTTTTAACTGGGTATACTGCAGATTTTAGCAATTTTCTTTTAATTAAGCCAGGGATTGTCAACCCCTGGGCTGCAGACCAGTACCAGTCCATGGCCTGTTAGGAACTAGGCTGTGCAAGCAGTGGGTGAATGAGCAAAGCTTCATCTCTCCAGGCACAGGATCTAGGTTGTGCATGTAAACATGCCTTCCCCCTGGTCTGTGGAAAAATTGTTTTCTAGAAAACTAGCCCCTCGTGCCAGAAAGGTTGGGGATCGCTGATCTAAACCATTCATGCAAACATCAATAAAATATTTCATACTGGGGGTGGGTGGGTTTATGAATATAGATCTTGCTGTGTAATATAAAGCTAAGATTTATGACTTCCATCAAAGACTAGCATGAATAAGATCTATTTATATTTACCCTGTCTGAAAAAAGTTAAAACTCTTCTTCTCATACTTGAAAATATTTGCAAAGCATAACATTAACATATTATCTTCCTATTTGCTGATTTATTGATATAATAAGCCGAATTATACAGTGAGATTTATATTTACCACTTTAAATAAGACAGGGATTCTCAGATTTTGCCACAAACCTATCGAAGAATAAATCCTCCCCATGAATTACTAGTATTTCTACATATGTGAATGACTTTTGGAAGCATTATGCTTTCTTCAATTATGTGTAGCTTTTTATACTATAATCTAGAAATTTGAGATGCCAACTCCTGCCAGTCCCAGCTAGTTGGCTGCAGATTATGGAGTCTGAATTCCTTCTCATACTTAGAAGAAAGCCAATTGGGGATAATTATTGCTGAAGGTCTCAGATGCAGCCTCTCTGCCTGTTCACCCCTTTCAACCCTTCTGATCACCACAAATTTGCAACCACACTCAAATTTGCTTACAAACAGAAGGATAATTTAACATAACAAGTGTTCAAGGAAAGAAGAGTTCTGGCAGAGCGTGAGGAGAAGAAGCATGCAAAGAATCTCACTTCAGTATTCCAGACTGAAAGCAGAACACGGCTCCATAAGGTTTAGAAATATCCTTAAGCTTCAAAAGCCAAGTGACTCAATTACTTCTTTCTACCCTACTCTTACTGGATTGCACACTCCACTGATATTTATTGGCCTTGAACCTTGGAAGAATAGTGAATAGCCACTAAGTGTTCAGACAAATCCCTGAAGTTATGTCATCATTTCTATCTTTCAAAATACAAATTCACTACAACACAAGGATAGCTCTCTTTTTAACATTGGGCTTAGTTGTGGAGGTCAGTTGCTACTATCCTGAAATTTGGGTGAGAGCATAGCAACAAATCTTGCTTGAGAAAGCAAGAAAAAAACGTCCACATGAGCTGCACAATCCTTGGCAGAAGTATCTGCAAGTAAATGCCAAAAGCCCTAGGATCTAAGCTTAGAATAATTCCACCCCTCACCTTTCTGCCTTCTCACCTGTTTAAACCTTGTAGTAGGATCTACTCCAGTCTGCTTCATAGAATCCATAACAGATTTCATCTCCACAGCCTCCTTTATAAGCTGATGGTTTTCCATTTGTTTTGCTTTGAAACTATCGGACTGAATCTGTTGCTGATGATTTGAAAGCATCTGAGATTTACTTGTTTCCTCAGTTTTATTAGGGACTGATGATCCTAATTTAATGTTGTTTTTATTGGTCTCTGAAGCTGAAGGTGCTTTTGAGATTGTAGCAGAGGGTATATTTTTCAACTTGTCATCTTTTCCCAGGTCTTTCAGCTGGAGCTCGTTTTTCCTTTCACATTCTCTACCAGTTTGAGTCACTTTCTGTTCTGCTAATCTCTGGTCCTCATAGTATTTTTCATACTGCTGCCTATAAGCAGGATTAGAGGCCATTAAGGATTTTTGGTCCATATAAAGCCCATAAGCATACTGGCCATAGTAAAGTGACTGGGCAAGTGCAGGATGCCTCTGAGTTATTACAGACTGGTGTTGAGGCTGCAAATTAGTGGCACCAGCTTCACTTTTTTTGGATTCTGGAGGCTCTGCCTTATCTTTTTTCTCAGCCTCTTCCTCCACCTCCTTTTTGATCTTCATTCCCTGGGGGTTATTGCTGCTGTTCCCAGCTGCGGGGGTGCTGACCTGTCCAGAGTGCATGTAGCTTGGAGAATAATAAGGATCGTAGCCATGGTAATAAGGAGAATGAGCTTCTTTTACTTGGGGTAATTGTACCGGCGTTGAAGAATGTCCTTTTCCAACACTGTCTTTATTAGAAATAATATCTGAAGGAGAGCTGGCCTTTGACCTCATGCCCTCTGACCTGCTGTCAGAACCACCATCGTCTGCAGCATCAGAGATATCTGAGTAAGCAGGACTGTTAGTTTTAGCAGCAGCACCCTCTGCTCCATTCTGTGTCAACACATGCAGTGGCGCCACTGAAGACTGTCCATTCACTAAAGGGCTGCATTCCATTCTGGAGGAACTCCCTATCGAAGGGCTGGGGGCATTGTCTGTGAAAGTGTAAACTTTATCAGCTTCAGCTTTAATGCTTGCCATCCTGCTCTCCTGAGACTCTGACAGTCCGTTAGCTAGCACTTCATTCTTGCTGAGATGTTCCTTTAAAAAATGCCCAGTAATCTCTTTCCCAGACCCCTTGGTGTCCTCTAATTTTCCCAGCTTCAAATCCACTTTAGGATTCCCAGTCTCTTTGCTTTCTTTGTCCTTAAGTTTTCTCGTCTCTTTTTTCTTTTTGTCTTTGAGTAATGTGAGAGCTGGACTGACAGTGCTTGGCTCTCCCATGATTGTGGGCTTTGGTTGAATAGGTTTTAGCGGAGGGCTCTTTGGTGTAGCCTGCACAACAGTGGTTGTCAGGGAGGGCAATCCTGATATTGACCCAGTGGTGGTGGTTGTAAAGGCTGCTGTGGGGATAGCTATTAATTGAGGCGGTGTGGGAGCCGGAGCTGGGGCAATGGGTCTGGCAGTTTTCAGCTTGGACAGATTTTTATCTACTTTGTAGTTACTGCCTTTTTTGCCTTTGTCTTTTTCTCCTAGGTTTTTCTTGTCTATTAGTCCTTCAGCTTCTAGCTTGGGCATTTCACTGGCCAAACTGTTTTCTGCCACTGAACAGTTTTCCAGAGTCACAGTCATATTGGAAATAACTGGTAGACTATTCAGTTCACTGTTCAAGCCCCTCTTTTTGCCAGAATTCCTGCCATTGTGGGCCTGCTCCCGTTTCCCCTTTGGTGTTCCAGGGATACTCAGGGAACAAGGAGACAGGGGCCCTTTCAGCTGATCAAAATGTGATAAACTTGTGCTTGGGTCACTGCATTCAAGTGCCACATTGCCGAGTGCTTCCTCACAGTCTGAGATTTTGTCTTCACTGTCAGGCTCAAATTCCAGTTTGTTTTCTGGGTCTAAATGTGCATGAGCCTGATGATACCTTAACCCATTAATGTGCTTGTATTTTTTGTTGCAGTTAGGATGGGGGCAATCAATCAACACTGGAGAAGAGCAGCCTTGGTCTAAAAAAGCTGTCTCTGGTTTCCCTTGGGGAGTGGTAGGAGTGCTTCTAGAATTGGTGCGCATGCGCTTTCCAGATTTGTTATCCTCTGAACTGGAATTCAAGTCCAGCTCCATGGGTGGCTTGTTTTTCCTCTTGTTATTAGACAAAGGGCTGACTTTCATATCCTCCATGGCACAGTTGGGGGGCGTCCTGCGGCCACTAGAATTAAGGCTGCCCCGTCTTCCTTTTCCATTGGCACCACCTCTGTTCTTGTTCTGTAGTCCTCTGGACTCTGTAAAGGTAATGTCAGTTCCAGGTGTGGCTGTAGCTGCTGCAGATCTTGCTCGCTTTCCTCTGCCCCGACCTCCTCGCATTTCCAGGTCACTTGTTGGGGATTCACAAAACCTGTTAGAAATAAAATCAGTTCTCAGAATTGGATACATGGGGAAAAAAATCAAATCTCAAAACTGTCTCAATGGCAAACCAACATATAGGACATCCAGACCCCCCCTCCCAATATCAGTAATGTTTAGGGAGGGGGAGGAGGACACTTCCCTAAGTCATCTGAAATTAAGGAGGGAGAAGGATCAATCAATCAATCAATATAGAGCTGGAAGGGAAAAACTTCATTAAGGTTTTTTTTTTTAAATTTCTTCTTTCTCTTTACTCCCTACCTCCTTACGTGACTGGTTATCTAGTGGTTTTTGCTTGGAATTAGGGTTCTAAAGGTCAGGAACAAATATATTATTTCCAGTTCTTGTGAGGTATAGCCCATCCCTTGCCAGTAATCCTTCATGTGGGTAATGCAGACCACGGTCTAGGAAGCCAAAGTTCTGTTGATGACATCAGTTTTTTAAGCCAGGGGTTTGTTTCTAAAATCTTTTGCTCCCTCATTGGATGCTGGTCTTTTGTTGGAAGTATTGATGAAAACACCACTCCTAATTCTTTAACTTTCTTTCCTAGCTCTTCATAATCTCCTATTACTGTTTTTAGATTCATTTTTGTGTCATTGGTCCCCACATGTAGGAGAAGAATGGGGTAGTAATCCGTGGGGTTGATTATTTTAGTAAGGTACTCAGTTACATCTTTAATTTTTAAAGTTTTGCAGGAGGTGATTTACTTGCTATTTCTTACTATTTTCTTTTTCTTTTTTAAAAGATTTAACAAGAGAATAAACTATATACACAGAAGCAGTAAAATGAAATAACACCAGACACATAAAAAGATAAACAGTGAAATACTGCAAACAACATAAAATTGTTAATTAACACCATAGTGTTTTCTCCCTTTCTTTTGCCTTAGCATGCTAGAATCAAACTTAGTAGATGTGAGAGGAAGCAGGAGAGGCATCCCACATTTTCTCTAACTGTATACTGGATTTCATTCACTATTCCTTATTTTAAGAAATCCATTCATGTATTCTGCTAAGGATTGAGCAAATAATAGCCTACAGGAAACACACACCAGATCTCACTTTATGGCCTTCTACGTTACAGTGCTGAAACTCAGAGCAAAACCAGCAATTTTGATGGCAAGATCAATGCCTGCTTTCTAAAATTAAAACAAAAATAGATGCACTGAAATACAGTACTGGCAAGACTTAATGCACCTAAACTCCCTCTTAAAGCTTTTCAAAATATGGGTACATTCTGCAGGTCTTGGAGGAGTGGGATAAATACGAAGCCTATTCAATTTGCAAATAATTTCTTCTGCATGGCCTACTTTTCCTCCAACATATGGTTTCATTTATGTGAAATGATTTTTTTTTAAAAAAAAACTTATAATCTGTCTAGTTCTTATGTCAGAATGTGAACAAGAAAGCAGACCCCACTTCCCCCAGATAATTACTTACCTGGGAGGAGCCCAATCGTGTTTTGTGCAATCAAGCAACGTTCCAACATAGGTTTTATTCCTCCAAGTAACATTAACAACAAGGACACCTGCAGATGGAAAAGAAACAAAGCTTGGTTGGTGGGAATCATGACTTTTGGACTTGGTTCAGAAATAGAACGGTAGAAAAACAGCTAAATGTTCATTTGTTTTCACAGATTATGGTTTGCCAACTTCCTCTTGTTTGGTTTCAGTGACTTCCATTTAAAACCCACAGAACAATGAATGTGCATGCAAGCAAAGAATAAGGGAGTGATCAAGATGCTAAAGTGAGAGGGAATGCTTTTTACTATGTCTGCTTTAAAAACAGTGACCTCTTAATTTTTTTCTATTATTGCATAATTATTGTTGATCACTAGTGAAATTAAGCTGAGTATCAGTAACTGGCCTACAAGGCATTGGGTGGCAAGAGGAAACGCTTCTCAGAGAGTACACAGAGTATATTTATTTGAAATGATACCTACTTTAGAGGCAATTACACAATATAAACACTATACTGTAGAATTAATATTTCTAAATATTATCAACATAGCTAATATTGAATGCTCTTTATTTTTCTTAAGAAGGCATTCCTCCCAAGTACAAAAATTTAGAAAAACTGAATTAGAAATATTTTCCAATATTTAACAAAAAGCAAACTGAAAATCAATGCGTCAATGAGTATTCTTTATTAAACACCGAAGAGCTATCAGATTTCTTTTCTGGAGTGCTCCCTCAAATAAAAAACAATTTCTAATATTTAGACTTGTAGACAATACCTATATTCCACCAGATTTAGAATATATATGAACACAAATAATTGTTTCCATAATATCCATTATAAGACATGCTAAAAAAGACACAGAGCAACAATATCAAGTTGTAATTCATTGTAAATATTTAGCACCAATTGGCAAATATGAAAGTTTTTTCCCTCACACTACATATTTGTATATTCCAACTCCATCCCAGCCTTTAAACTGAGAAATAATGTATAAATAAATAAATAATGACATCCTGCCTCATACTTCCAGCTTGTCGGCTCAATTTATGTCACTAGTATGCTTTCTAATTTGCATTCAACCTTTTTCCCAGACCAGAACATCAATGTAAAGAAAACATGTAACCTGCAACTTATTTCCTTAGGGACCTTTTAACAGCAGGAAAGTATTTTGAAATGCTATTAGCTAAAGTACTAAGGAAGAAGGGATTTCCTTTAAGCATTTTCAACAGCATATCAGACGAGGGGAAAATGGTTCCCTGCATGGTTTTAGCGTGTTATTGTAAATGCAGAAGGCCACCACATAAGGTATATATCCTGACTTGAGGTCTTTTTTTAAAGAAACAAAAACATAAACTCCAGATATGGATGATAAAATCTTTGTTAAATAAAAACTAAAAGCCACAGCATGTAGTGGCCAAAAAAATATATTTCATTTTTCGCAATTAAAAACAAAAGTAGAAAGGAAAATACCTCCACTCCCAATTATACTATAAAAATACACATTCAAACAGATGCAGAATGGATCTGTTCTTCTCATCATTTGCTCTCCAGGGCACTGCAATGTGGTGTTGGAAACCTTTCCAATTGCTTAACATTTTTCAATCTATCTGCTGTATTTAAATTACTGAAACATATTATATTGTTAGAAGGTTAATGCATTTTTTTAGCTTAAGATGCAATAGGCTAAATCTCTTTGTGCCTGAATCTCTGATGTACCACAAATGTATAATTAAAATTACTTGAAAGAGAAACATGAAAGAAACAACAAGGCTTCCCTTCTTGGAATAAATAGCATTAAAAAACAGGAAAAGTCTGCACAGACACTTAACATTTGTCTGCAGTGAAAAAGGCCTTTGTTATAATCTTTCCCTAAGGGCTTCATATTTCCCACAAATTTAGTCTCTGGATTGGCCAGGGCTGGCTGACAATGCTGCCATATGATTGGTTGGACTTACCACTGCAGCAGAGGCACAAAAAGAAAGAAAAACAGTGATGTAACACAATCCTTCTGTGCAAGCAGAAAGTGACATGGGGAGGGGGAGGGGAAGGGAGTGAGCCTGGTATAATCTCACCAGCACAAGAGGCTTATTTAAATGCTTCCTGCTTCTGTAATTACGCTCTGGTTTGTTTGCACTATCTGGGCTTGTCAACTTGAAAGGTTACTGTCTGCTCAATTGGGCTGCGTTAAGCATTCAAAATCTTCTCTGGATCTTGAAAAAAGGAATTTGTTTGCCAAAGTAATGATTTATACTAAGAAACAATTATAATTGTAAATTATATAGGCTGATAAGTTATAACTACTGTAGCTGATTAGTAATGGCAAATTTAACGTTAAACCTAAAATTAGTGAACTATAGTAACTATTTCTGGAAGTTTTCCATCAACTATTTAACACTTTCTAATTTAGACCCTGCTTGATGTCTAAATATAGCAGTATTAACAAATGACTTATTTTTGTAGGATGAAAAGCACCCAAATGAAGTCAGCTCAAACTTCTAAATGGTTCTTTCTTTTCCTAAAATTCAAACTGAGCATTGTTGCACAAATGAGATCTGGTGGGGAAAAAAAATCTGCCAGAAACTGTGAGAAGTGCCAGTTATGTATGTGCAGTACTGCCCATATGATGGATTAAAAAATATATGGTAGAAATTCTCCGTTCCTTAGAACTTGAACACTGCTTCTCTGTACTAATACATAACATGAACCCAAATTTATTTTTAAGTAATATGTGGATTTACATAAGGATGTAGACCGGTGTCAAACTGCAGGCCCGTGGGCCGGATGCGTCATGCCGAAACCACGTCCACCCCATTAGGGGCAATGGAAAAAAAGTCATGAAATGTCACATGTCATGTGACATTGAGAGTTTTACACCCCTGACGTAGACGCTGAGTTCCACTGAGGCTAATGAAAAGCTCACAAACAGAATATGAGAACAGTGTTCTTCCCCAAATGACTTGATTGTGATTGGTAGTTACTTATATGGTGATCCTTTATATATTTGCCTGCTGTCCAAATAACATTTAGTCTCTTTATAAACTATTACATAAAATGCTTGTGCAAACTGACTAGATTTGTTCCTTGAAGCAGCTGTAGCTGCCTAAAACCCTCCTAAAATAATATGGACATATATGATTGAATACAGATCAGATTTCTACCAAGATGCCTAATGAAGCAAGTAGTTGTGCTTCTTTCAAAGAGCACATCTAAGAGGCCCTTTTCATACAGTTCATTCACTGAGTAATTGGCACAGGTTTACAATGCAGTATGTAGCCAATAATTCAGTATGTGCGTGGATGGGACAAAGAACTGTAAATGTGATTGTACATTCCCACTCGTTGTCCATAATCTGATTGGGGCACAATGCATCACTTTGTTTTTAATTCGTAAGAGGGAGTAAAACTGTATCATCTGTATGAAATATTTTAAAGCAATCACAACTTTTCCCAAGATCATGTGGTTGATCTTACCTCTGAACCTGCTACATAATCCTGTAAAAGGAGTTACCTGCTTAAAGGAGTTGGGAACACCTGCTATGTTTACACCCATGTGTTCAAAAACACCTATTTGGAATCAAAGTCAAATTATCGTATAACTGTTAGCTAAAGGTCTTAGCCTCAATTTCTGATAGTTCTGGGAAATCTGAGTTAGGTGCAAAGTTATCTGGATGGTTATCTATAGTTCTTTAAAAATTGAAATCCATCTCTAAAAATTAACTAGTTCTCAGCTAGCCACTTTACAGAATTCTCTCCTTCTGGAGTTATGTATAGCTCCCACTTTCCTTACTTTCTCAAAAACAAGTAAAAAGATTGCCTTGTGTCAAATTGAATGGGAGGCATCACAATCATTTTATGTTTTTCTAATGCTTATTTTAATTTTTGTTATTCACCATCTGGAATCTTTCAGAAGTGGAACAACCTAGAAATAGTATAAATAAATAAACAAATACAGAAGAATCATGGCCTAAAAAATCTAAATTGCTAAAGTTGATAAAAGAATAAAGTTTAGAAAATTATTAACAGTAAAGTGTAAAAAAATTATGTTTTCTAAGTGCTTGTATCAGCTGCTACCACAGTTAAGTCACAAAATTTTCTCTGTATTAATTTTCTTTTGCCAAGTGGGTTTCGAGAAAAATGGACTCACTGCCTTGCACACATCTGTCCCTAGTTCTTTCGGTCATAAGAATGCAAGCACTGAAGTAAGAGTATTTAATTTAGGAAATCTACTGCAGAAGTGAATCATGCGAATAAAGTGCTTCAACCAGAAAAGCATGGAACTGGAAAGACAATGATAGTAGACAGAAATATATATGTGATGAAAACTCTAACCTGGTTCCTTTCTGCTCTATATGCTCTTAAGACATTTTTTGTCCCACTTCTGTCAGAGTAATACTTTCTGAAGATGATCAGTTTTTCTAGCATTCAGATTTGCTCATCAAAGATAAGATGGCTTTCTGTTTTATGATGAAGGCATCCTACTGCTCAAAGTCTGCTGGATGTTTCAGATTGCCTTTTCTACTTGCAGAATTTCTCAGACAAAGGAAAGATCTCTTTCCCCAACCCAACAAAAGGAAAGAAGGGGCTTATAACAGTGACACTCTCTGTAGTGTAGCAGACTTTTTAATCCAAACTCAACCAGAGTTTGAAACAAAACTAGAATAAAGAAATTAATATGGGAGGTAACAGTATATGAACTAGTGCTCAAAACCAAAAGCAGAAATAAAAATTTCTGAAATATTAATGCAGATAAAAAGAAGCATAAGCTTTCCCCTTGAAATGTATTCTAATGCACATCAAGAAATAGAATTTGGAGGTGGGAGTATTATTTATTTACTATATTTATGCAGCCATTCATTTATTCAGGAATTCTGGCAGTGACAGAAATAAAAAGAAATCAACTATGTAAATCAATTAAAAGAAATTGGATCCTAAATATCACATTATCAGCTCATCATACAAACCACATCCAAACCAGAGCTCAATCAACATCCTGGCCTCAGAACCCAGGGGAACCCACAGCCATTTACTAGACCAACAGGCTCAGGGTTAGCAGTATCTTGGGATAGGC